CAGTTCACAGGTCTAGTCAAATGACAGAGGGGAAGCATGTTCACACAGACACTATGTCTTCATTCACAGAGAATTCTACGCACCGGAAAACATAAGCTAAGTCACGCTTTTCATAAAATAATGTTTGGATTCAATGAGTTTGCCCAACTTCAGGCTGAGGGGTACATTCCAGTACATTAAGACAGACTCAGTGTAGCATCTTTGGGGATGCCTGGATGAGTTTCCCTAGGACTGGCCTGGGTGCAGCCCCAGCTGTGGGGCTGAGGTGCTCAGTCATTTGCTATATAGCTGGGGCTGCTCAACTCAGCGTCTGATCAACTCTCAGCGGACTTAACGGTCTATAACCCCCATAGCAAGCTGAGGCATGGGAGGAGGTCATATCTGAGTTGACCTGTGAACACAAACGGTTGGCGAACCTTGGAGACACTTGATCACTCCACCAGCTGCGACTCTCACTCTGTCCTGATGGCCTCCTTGACATCTGAGGAGTAGGGTAAGAGCTCAGGCAGATAGAGGACATCCTGTGTGAGGCTGGGCACCCTGGGTCCTAAGGCCTTGTCGATTCAGCCAGCTCTGTCTGGCATCTCGAGGTGTCACTACCAGGGAGAAGACGGTGTGACACCATCCTTCAGCTAACACATCAGGACCAGGACAGATGGTGACTAACGGGAACCCTTGTGGGGCCCCAGAGACATGGCCCCAAGGACTCCATGGGATGGGTCTGCAGGAGCAGAGCTGGCACCAAAGCCCCAAAGCTTTGGGGAATGGTAGGAAAAACAGAGGACCATGACAAGCAAGGGGTGCCTGGCAATTGAGTTCTTTCCACTCCCAGAGAGTTCTAAATGAGTCAGTTGTTTGTCTCGAGTCTCTTATTGGATAGCTTGGGGAAACTGAGACCCAGATCAAAAGAGAAAATTCCTGCCTGGGAAATACAGAATGCAGGCTAAAGCAGGGATGTGCTGAAAATGAAGCTCAGGAAGCAGACCAGGCACCCCAGAAACTAACTCTCCCAGAGACCAGTGTTTTCTTGATCCTTCCTGGGAGGTCAGAAGACAGTCTCTGTGTACAAACACCAGGATTATCCAAGGGGCAGCCATGCTCAGAAGGGCTGCCTTTTAAGTCTTGTTCTGTAACCCAGGCTAGCCCAGAACTCACTATGTAGCCTGGGCTCACTTAGATGTTGCTGCGTAGCCCAGGCTAGACCAGCGCTAGCTATATAGTCCAGGCTGTGGCCTTTAACTCTGGATCCTCCTGCCTCAAGCTCCTGATTGCTGGGATTACAGACATGCACACCATCATTTTCAGCTCTGAGCTGCCTTTTCACAAAGACTTTGCTGTAGCTGACCGCAGGCTAGTAGACAGGCCTGCCCTCCTCCATGGTGAAGACCAGAGAAAAGGGAAACTTGGAGGACTGCAGTAGGATGAGAAAAACGACCCAAATAGGCCAGTCTGTAGTTTTTAAAAATAGACAGATGTCTTCCCTCTGGCTATAACCACAGATCAGAGTCACAGCCATCCCCTCAAAACGGATCATGCTGGCATTCATTCAGAGGACAGTGAGGCCCAATCACAGATGGCTGCAGGGGGCCGCCAGCAGCTTGACGCCAAGGTAAATTCCAAGCCTCTTAGGGCTACAGTGAAGGGACTTGGATAGGAAGGAACCATGAGTAGACAGCCATAGTTAGCCATGAGGCAGGACCTGGGAACACTGCTAGAGAAACAGCCGTCTTTGTCAAGTACCTACTATGTACAGACCCTGTACAAAGGGACTGGCCACACTATGCTTGTGGGTAATGTAAAATTGGCCCATTTTACAGATAAGAAAAGTGTGGCTTGACTAAGAAACTCTTAGCCCATTAGTCTAGATTCTTAGCTCACTGAGTACTAGACTACTGGACGCCAAGACTCAAACCCAGTCAGTTATCTCCCTCCAGAGCCCATATTTCTTGCTCTGACAGAGGCCCCAACCTAATGTCCCAATTCTTTGATCTATAGGCCATTGTCACCACTTACCAAGCGACACTCTGACCATCAGGCAGGCCCACCACCCATAGCATCATCTCTGGCTTCTCAGACAAGCGATTCCTCTTAACAAATTAATAAATTGGTCTCCTGCTGCTGACATGTCCATTTTGGGGTGTTTTAGTTTGCCCAAGGCACAGCCCAAGCCTCACAGGCACTGGGAGAAGCCACACACTAGAACGGTCCCCAACTGATACCTGCACGTGTCCTGTAAGAGGAGACCTTCAGCTGCCCCCTTGAAGCACAGACCCACATACGTCTGTGGACTGATCTAAGCTGAGCACTGAGGCCCTGCCTTACAGCTGTGTGTTAAGCGTTAACTGGGCCTTTCCTGGAGTCAGGAGTAATGGATTTCCTCACTGAAGAGAGCCCACAGGCTCCCTGGAAAGATGGAATGAATGGACCCCACACTTAGAGAAAGGCAACATCGTTCTGTGTGGATCTTGAAGGGACCTCAGCTGCTGGGGAGGCTAAGACAGGAACACTTAAGTTCAAAGGCAGCAAGGGCTGGAGAATGGGCTGAATACCAGGCTAAGCAATTTAGTGAGACACTGTCTCAGTGAAAGAGTGCATATTGAACATTGAACATGTTGAACAGAAAGGGCCTGGGTTCCATGCCACACACACACACACACACACACACACACACACACACACACACACACACGCTCATGCACACACACACACATACATGGGGTCAGGGGAGTGCAGAGGCAGGTAGCTGACTGTGAGTTCCAGGCCAGCCTGGTCTATATAACAAGTTCCAGGACAGCTGCATAGTAAGACCATGTCTCAACAGAAAATAATAATAAAAATAGCTCCGGGAGTGGGGGGGGGGGACGGAATGGAGAGAGAGTTGAGGGGAAGGAAGATGAAGATGAGGAGGAAGCAAGGGAGAGGGAGGAAAGAGGAACTAGATTCAAATTCTGGCTCAACTACCTAGTAGCTTTGTGACTGTGAGGGATTTCTCTGGTGTCCCTGAACCTCCGTTTCCCCACTTTTACTATGGAAATAATCTCTGTCGGCAATGGTCAGTTGCAATATCAGGGTGAGATACCAAAGGCATCGATTTCCCTGATGCTCCTTAAACTCCTCCTACCACCCGCCAGATCAACTGGACGGCACAAGTAGCCTGTGGCAGTGCGAGGGGCAGGGGCCGGTACTTCTGAAAGCCAGCACCCGGAGTCCCTGAAAGCCCCTCAGTCAACACTGGACTCACTTCAGTGAGTTCCCCGCTGCCCTAGTCTGCACCCGTTTAGCAGACCATGCCTCCGGGTAAGATCAGAGCTTCCTGGAAAGCCAGCCAGCCCTCTGCCACCGGGAACTTGCACCCCTCTTTGAGTCACAAGCACCACGTCTCTGGCAGCACTTGTGGACATGGACTGTAGATCCCGGGCCACACCGAACCTGGATTGAGCCCCTCTACATGCTGGAGATACAACAGTTACACATGTGGACCCCAGCCAGTAAAATATGCCTGATGTCATCACACACACACACACGGATAGAGAAACTCCAAGACGAGTTGTTCGGAGGTGGTGGGGAGCAGAGAGAGAAAAGACGGGTGTTGCCTCTGATGCCCCCCTGACTTTGCTTTCAGCTGTTATTCCTTCACACCTGCGAGCCAAAGAGCGGATACTGAGGATATATGACAGCCAGTCGCCCCTTCCAAAACCATCTAAAGACCCGGGAGCTGTGCGGGTAGGAGGGAGGGAGGTGGCACGCATGGATGACCTGTGAGATTCAGCAGGGTGGACAGCGTGAACGGCACGCACCCAGCAGGGGAGGCGGCTGGCTGTACAGTGCAGGCGTGCCCCAGCCAGGGCGGCCAGGGGCTAACAGGGACTTACTTGCGGAGAAACTGGCCTCAGTGTGGACTGGCGGGGTGGAGGGCAGGAAGGGCGCATGGCCCACAAAGAAGGACCGCAGGGAGCGCTCGGACAGGAGTGGGGAGCGCTGCTGGGCGGGGATGTTCTCACAGCTGCCCACGCCACTGTGGATCTTGAGGTTCAAGGGTTTGCTCTTTTTCTTGGCTCTGGAAAGGAAGCAGAACGAGGAGAGAAGAAAAATGGATCTGTTTGGTCTACACAAGCAGTATAAACAGTGCCCGCCTGGCAACAGAGGAGCACCGCCAAACGCAAGCACAGTTTATTCCAGGAGAGAACAACCTGCCGGAATGTAACTGGGCATCTCTTAGTCTTCTAGAACATTCCTGCCAGTATGCAGTCTGCCCACCAGATGATTACTTGTCATCGACTTGAGGATAACATTAACTGTATCTTTCAAATAGTATTTCATAGGCACCATTGTGGTGGGTGGCTTAATGCCAACTTGACAGGGGCTGCAGTCATTTGGGAAGAGAGAACCTCAACTGAGAAAATAACCCCACAAGACTGGCCTGTGGGCAAGCCTGTGATAAGTTTGCTTGCAGGACAGTTGATGGGGGCGGGACCAGCCTTCCATGTGTGTGGCTCCATCCTTGGGCACCTAGGTGGTCCTGGGTTCTATAAGCAAGCAGGCTGAGCAAGCCACGGGGAGCAAGCCAGTAAGCAGCACCCCTCCATGGCCTCTGCATCAGCTCCTGCCTCCAGGTTCCTGCCCTGACTTCCCTCAGTGATGGACTGTGCTGTGGAACTGTAACCTGAAATAAAACCTTTCCTTCCCATGTTGCTTTGGGCCCTGGCATTTCATCACTGCGATAAAAAACAAACTGAGACAGCTAAAAAATGTGTATTTTTTAATGTAAAAAAAATAAGGTGACGGGTTTAGCCGTTATAAATGGTTGAAGGCTGGCATAAAAATCCAGGGCTTGGTTAGTGTGGTGATGCACTCCTGTAATCCCAGAACTAGGGAAGCTGAGGCAGGAGGATTCTAACTTTGAGGCCAGTTTGAACCACAAAGCAAAGCTCTATCCTGAATAAGCAACAGAAAAGAAAAAGCGGGTCTTGGAGATGATTTTTTTTCCCTCTGGCCATCTTCCTTGTAAACAGATCACTAGGGGGTGAAGTTATTCAATTTCCAGTGAGATCCCTCACACTGGGATGGAGATGAGACAGACACACTAAAGACCTGCCTCTAGCCAGGTGTTGATTGAGTTTTGGTCAGAGCTAAGTGAGGGCTTCCCACAGAATGCTGGTGCCTGAAAACCTTGCCCTTTACCAAACAGGAGCCTTAGCACCATCAGTGACAGCGGCAGCAGTCGCCGCTCAGAGCTAAGCACAAGCTGCGTCTGAAGACTGAATCAAGGACTCCAGGGTTTCCCCTCAGTTAAGCGTTAAAGTCATCTTAGGAAGGACATTCCACCACTGTCCACTTTCCTCTGGGGAGAACACTAGAGCGCATGAGATGGAGGCGAACCTAGTGGAGGCGGCTTCCAAGGCCTTATCACAACTTTGTCCAGACTGTCTGTGTCACGCCGAGTCTTAGAGTGCCACAACCCTGAGGCCAGTCACCCCAAGGACTGGACTTAGCGTTGTTTTGCTGCCTTTCCCGCTTGACAAACTCCTACACATGCTCCCTGGTCCAGTCCCAACCTTGGCTCCCAGCGGCCACCCTCCACATATACTCTGGCCCAGTAGCCTTCTCACCTTTGACCCGCCTTTCTCCACAGCTCAGGGTTCCCTCCTCTGCTCGGCCTGTTTGAGCTCTGACTTGATAACTCAGCTCTGGTGAATCTCCTTCCAGAATGCACCCCGACCCCAACCCCCCGCCTGAGCTAGGTGCTTCTTTTTTTGTTTTCATATCTCATGGTCATACTTTCCCATTTTTCCCCACACTTGTAATCTCTGTGGCAGAACGTGGGTCGTGAGGGCAGTGGATTTCTCATTGTTCCAGCCTTGCCAACTGGCTTGGCGCCTGGCGCACACTAGGTGCTGCTTAAGGGAGTGTTCTGAATGAAGGCTGTGGCCCAGAGGTGTCACGCTACATTCTAATTCTCTGCTTTCCCCTCCCAAGTGCTGGCTCCCGGAGGCCAGGAACCATGCAGATGGTGTGACTGCATCTCTCAGCCCCTGGTTTGGCACTTGTGGCACAAAACACACCTCATATGCTCATACCCTGGAAGTATCTTTCTTCTCCAAGGAGCTGGCCTAAGAGTGCTAGGCTTAAGTCTGCATCTCCCAATGCCTTGCCATCCACCTCCCCATGTTCCCTCCCACCCACTTCCTCACATGCCCATCACTCCCTCATGGAGCCGAGTGCCCTCTGGTGGCTGCTGCAGAGTCTACTTGCAAACTGCCTGTAGGCCACCTTAAAAAAAGCCATGCTCTCCACAGGAGGCCAAGCATGTCTGCCTGCCCAGCCAGCCCTCTCAGTGCCACTGTGGCAACTTCCAATCCTACTTATTATCCCTCCAGGGGCCTGCTGCAAGGCTCAGATAGGCACTCCCCTTATAAAAGCGTACATCCAGGAATTCATCCCTGCCCGGGGCTGGAAAAAAGGAGGAAGTAGGAGCCAGTGACTCTCTTTTGTCCACAAGTGTCCAGCAGTGGGGACTTAAAAAGGTGCATGCACAAAGGCCAGCAGTGCTGGAGACAGAGAGATGGGACTTGAGTCATCAGGAATGAGATATCCTCTTTGTGCTTCAGTTTCCCACCGGGAGAGACCATGGTCCCCTTCCCAGAAGGGGAGTCTCTGGGGTGGCATTCTTGCCCCAGGCTGTTCCTGTCATGAGCATGGCTGTACTCTGGTTATGTCCAATGGCCACACGGCCATGCAGAAAGCTTAGAAAGAAGCTGAGTGCTGAAGCCAGGCTGGGCCTTACCTGAAAGACCCAGAACACCGTCCACGCTCTACCAGCCTCGGCAAGGGAAGAGGGCATGGGTAACCCCCTGAGCATGAAGCTACAAGCATCTCCCCTCTCCCTAAAAACCCAGGAGAGCCTGAGGCACTGAGCCCCTGAAATGAGGTCATGTGAATCCGAGCAAGACTGGCGTGTGCCACACTTGAACTCGCAGCTCAGGGATGCCAGAAGTGATGTGGTTACCGAGTCACAAGAGAAGGCTGTGCATAGATAACTGTCAGACAGACAGATGGAAGAAAGGGAGAAAGGATGGAGAGAGAGAAGGCAGAAGAGGAGGGAGGAGAAGAAAGGGAGATGTAACGAAGAAAGAATGAAAAGAAGGATGGAGTGGGAGAGAGGGAGGGATAAAAGAACAGAAAGGAAGGGAAGATGAGAAAAGAAGAAAAGGGAGAAAAGAGATGAGATGGAGGAATAACAGAAAGAGGGAGAGGGAAGGAGGGGGTGGGTGGGTATGGACAGGTGAATAGCTGGTGGGTGGTTGGGAGATGGATGAATGAATAGATGGATGATGGGTGGATGGATAGATGGATGGACAGATGGATGGATGGGAAGATAGATGAGTAGATGGATGAGTGAATGGATGAGATGAAAGAAGGAAAACATTGCAGGATATAGAGGTGGATATAAAGAAGACAAGATGAAAGAGAAAGAAGAGGGAGATTGACCATCTTGACAGAGCAGTAGTGAAGATGCCCTGAGCCACATCCTTACCCAGGCAGCCACATGGAGCAGACATAAAGTTATTCCTGACCTTTGGCACCTGACCCCTTGCCCAGGAAGACCCTCAGAGGAGGCAGGCTGTTACCATGTGCTGAAGGAAGAAAGAGAACAACCTGGCCATGATCTTCCCAGACCTCACCACAAAGAGCCAACTCTGGTAATAGTGAGACAAGCTGAGCCCCAGATCCCAGAAGGAGTGGCACCATCCTGCAGGCTCTTAGCCCCAGGTGCACCAGGCACTTTCTGTTACATATAGCAAGCCAGCGTTCCCTGATAAGGTGGCTGTGCTCACGGTGTCTCTGGGGCCAGCCTGGGCTGAGGCTTCACAGCCAAAAAGTTTACAGGGAAGTTATGGCTTAGAAAAGGGGGTTTTCCAGACAATAATTAAAAGGTTGAGAGTGAGTGAAGGGCTTGAAAAAGACATTTCCTCTCCAGAAGATGTATGTAAACCCCACCAAGCACTCGTGGAGATAATGAGGAGAATTAGTGGAGGGAAATGTGAATCAAAGTGATAAGAAGCTACAAGGAATGGTCATGCTCAAACATATGGTGACATGGAGAGCAGGAAGCCACAGGCATCACTTAGTATGTGAAGGGCGTGGCAGCTTCAGAAAACACTGTATGGTCATGCTTTGGCCATGTAAAACTAGAGTTTGTACAACTCAACAGTTCAATCGCCTAGATAGGTACCCAAAAGAATGGGAAATAAGTCTTCAGACACAAAATGCCCATGAACATCGACAGAAACCGACAACCACCAAAGGGCAGGAGAAAAACCCAAATGCACATCACTGGGCAGAGGAAGACAAATGAGATCTGTCTGGGCAGTCTAATGCGCTTCAGTCTGTGATGTTCCGACTCACAGCCCAAACAGGAGTAAGCCTCGGAGCTGTCATGCCTCGGGAAGAAAGCTCAATGCAAGAGACCACACAAGAGACCACAGTTTATATATATAAACTATGGGAGCGGGCAAGTCCTCAGAGATGGACAGCAGGCTGGCAGATGCCAGGACTGGAGAAGAGGAGGGGTGGGAGGAGGGGTGGGAGGAGGGGTGGGGAAGTGCACAGGGAGGGGCTGTTGCGCTGTTTGCTTTGGGGTCACAAGAGCCCTGGAAGTGGGCAGAGGTGGCAGCTGCTGAGCCTCGTGAGCACACTTAGCCACCCCGGAGTGTGGCCTTTAAAAGGTTAAAGTGACCAATGTGGCATCACAGTCATTTAGAGAGTTAGAGAAACCATTCTAACACTGCTTGTGCTGTGTATTTACCCCTTGACTAGCTGGGTGACCTTTATCAAACAGCTTAACCTCCCTGGGTCCCATGGTCTTTGCCGGTACAAATAACTTCTACCAGGGTTGTTTTAAGGAGCCAATGACTAGACAGGAAATACTCCAGTTGGCTACTGCATTCGTCAGGGACCTACTGAGGTCCCTCTTGCTTTTGTCCTTTGACAACAAGGGCTTTTGTTTCAAGATAGGGGGCAAAGTCCTTTCTGTGGAGAGGCAGATGAGCACTCAAA